GTTTGAGAGATGCTGAGTATCAGTGAGATTCTCTCGATTCTGGCATCAGTGCTGTGAATGGAAAGAAGAAGAAAAATTAACTGGGAAATGGGTATTTCTTATTCATTCATATTGGCAATTGAATGAAAGGAACCCTTCTAAGTCTGAATCCTCTCAGATCACAGGGTCTGTTTCCTAGGAGATAAGTCTAAGCAGCTGTACCGCTACTCAAAATTCTTGAATCCAGCCTATTTCAAGCAAAGCAGATTTGATTATAATAACTGATGTTTTTTCCCTTATGATAATGATGATTGAAATTTACAGGAACAGACTAGATGCATGCCTGTTACACATGGGAACAGCTGCTTGATTCCATTGGGTTTCATATGTACCTTTTGGAGTTTATCTGACATTTGGGATTACTTCTAGCCAGATAATGTCTGAGTGTCTAGGAAAATGTTTCAGGCCTGGAGTGTCCTGAGAAATATTTAGTGGTCTTGAAATTCTGTATTATTTTTTAAATGATATTACATGTTTTGGTTTTGACAGGGTATAGGGAAGTCTATTTTATTATAAGAGACCAGAGAGTTTAACTGAGGGAGGTCTCCAAACTGGAACTTTTTTTACCCCTTTTCTACCCTTTTCCTCCCCACCCTTCCTCTCTCTCTGAAAAATAGATGTAATTTAAAAATACAAAGACTTTTATGGAATGAAACACAAAATATATCCAAAATGAATATGAATGGGCAGATTTTATCCAAGTATCAGAGGCTTATTACCACAAAAACACACTTTCTTCAATCATGACAGGCTTATAGGTCTAAAATGGACAACTAGTGCAAGATGTTCTTCATGTGGTATGCACACTTTTCCTACAATGCTGTTTCTTTCCTGCTTAGTTTCCAGTTCTGAAGTCCTTTCACAAGCCGAATTCTCATGAACCTTATTTGGAGTTTTGCCTGTACAAGGAGTAAAGATCTGGCCATAGGTGATGTCCTACATTTCAATGAATATAGCATATTGGGCATCTTTAGTTCTAGGAATGTTGTCCTTTTTTGCGGTTGGAGTTCCTTTGTCCTTTATGAGAAATCGGTTCACCTCAGTTTCTGGATAGGAAATGGATCTGAGCTCCCCCTTTCTGCAGTACAAATGCAGTGAAATGGTAAGAGGAAGGTTAAAGCCAAAATATGGTCTTAAATCTGTAGTCATGCATTCGTGCAGAAGCACCATAGGGAATTCATGAGACTTGAGTTATCTTTGATGAGATAATTCAGAAAGAAGTGCCTTTGGTGAAGCAGATAGTTCAGAATAAAATCAATACCTATAATAAAGAGAAGCTTTTCTGTTCTTGTCTTCACTTTCTTCAGCTCCCCCAACCTGGTCCCTGCAAGAGGCAGAACAGCGGCAGCATGGGGCATTAGGTGGCAGCACTCCATCCCAGTCCCCCTCTCTCCCCCCTGCCCAATCATTCTTGACAGGCAGTTGGCTAGTATTTTGGCTGGAGGGCTGCTTAATGAGTTCTGTGGAGGGCTGCAACAGTAGCCCTGCCCATTGACAAGTGCCCTGCCCCCTGGTCACCGTCTTCGGACCGTAAGTCCCAACCCCTGATCTTTGCCACTGGAAGTTCCTCCTCTTGCCCCCAGAAGTATTCTTTTTGTGGGGGCATTGCCATCTTGGAACTGGAAAAACCCCAAATCATACTAAAAGTCAAACATCTACAATAACATATTTTAATTTTACTTTAAAAATATTTTAGTCCTGATTAATTCATGTTTGCATAGTGCATATAGAGATGATTGCATAATAGCTCAAAAATAAAGTCTTACTCATGTATGGTGGGGGGGGGGTGATTAGGGGTTGGGTGTGTGTATAGGATGTTGGGGGGGTTG